AGCACCACTAGCACCACTAGCAGCACTAGCACCACTAGCACAAGCGGCACCACTGGCACGCTGCCACTAGCGCCACTAGCGCCAGTAGCACCACTAGCACCGCTAGCACAGCCAGCACCGCTAGCACTGCTAGCACCACCAGCACCACCAGCACCACTTGCACCAGCCCCAGCACCACCAGCACCACGATGGTGGTCACCACATTCATCAGGTTGATTACGTTCATGAGTTTCACTTTTTTTCATTAACAAACTCTTGGGGCCAAGGATTTTGAACTTACGAGTTTGTTGCTACAACCTAGTACAAGCGCCAAAACCCGGCATCCGAAACCCGGGCATGAACTCAAGGACTTTGATGACGAGGCACCTTTGACAAGTGGTGGTTGGAGGAACTTCTGCAGCTTGTTTCGCTGCCTGGCTTCCGACCTAAAGCAAACCCCCGCATGGGCCCAAATGTTGAAGAACCCTCTGAGCAGAACATCTAGAGCTTGAGTGCCCTGCTACGAGCAGACTTTCGCAGCTAGCGCATGTTCCAAGCTGGCCCGCAATTTGCCAACTCAGGCCCGACCTTAACATCCAAAGCCACTACAACACGCCCCCCTAAACCTTGCAATCCGCAAATAAGCACCTAGCTAGGACGTTTTAGTCCAAGCCTCGTGCAACGTTTTCAACCTACAGAGCCAAACCATGAAAATGCCTTGAAGAGCACCCCTCAACGTTATCTCAAAAGACCGGGAGACCATGGTACGTAGGCATTTGAAGATATTTGAAGGCTCTGTGAAGCTCCTTTAGTTAGACCTTCGCAGCGCGTGCCAACAGTTCAATAGCAGCTTGCTGATAGGAACCGGAAGCTCCGTCAGAGCACCAATCCAACAACAGCAGCAGTCATGATGCCCGCTCAAGCCCAGGACGCTCAGAGCCCACTGAGCAACGGCTGATCGAGTCAAGTTCACGCAGCAGATGTATTTGCCCCTCGGCCCGTGATGAAATGCTTGTCCTTGGGCGAATACAGGTATAATGGGGTTTGGATTCTTCTACGGTTTGTAAGTGATGGGACTGTAGGTTTATCAAGCTTGACGGCAGGAACCTGGAAAGTCCGAGTATCCTGAAGCAACCACATACAGCTGATCAATCCCGCAAACATTGCCACCAGCATTTAAAAGCTTTCGTTTTGGTGAGTCCCCACGCACCACTCGCGCTTCACAACATTGCGAGCAGAACTTCCTTCTGGTGCTTCGTGTGATATAGGAGCCGAAACGCTTCTCTGTCACGTGATCGGTTCTCTTGTGGTCGTCGTCGTAGTCGTCGTAGACGTAGTCGTAGTCGCAGTCGCAGTCGTTGTCGTAGTCGTGGCCCGGTAGCCGTAGCGGTCGTGGTCGTGGTAGAGGTAGGCGTAGTTGTAGTCGTGGTTGTAAGGGTTTTGGTTGTTGTTGCTGCTGCTGTAGCAGCAACAGTAACAGTAGCGGTACTTCAAGGAGGAGTACTAGTAGGAGTAGCAATGGGGGTGGGGCCAGGAGTCAACAGATAATGGGAGTTGTGTTTTTCGTCGCCGCCGGCGTTGTCGTCGTAGTCGTTGTTGTCGTAGCCGTTGTCGTGGCAATACCAGCAGAAGTAGAAGTACAAGTCGAAGAAGGAGGGGTTGTAGTGGTGGAGTAGCAGTAGCAGCCTTTGCAGTAGTAGTGCCAGTAGTGCAGGAGGAGTAGGGTAGCAGTGGCAGGAGCAGGAGCATGGGGAGTAGCAGCGGCAGAGAAGTGCTGGTGGGAACGGCATAAGCGATACAACGGCCATTACAGCAATAGTGACAGTAGCAATGGCCGGCCTGTCTACTATCTTTGCAATGGCCGGTATTCATACTGCTAGTAGACGATTACAGCCTTCCCCTGTCACACCCTGAATCCTGAACCCTCGAGCCCAGAAGACAAAAGGCTGTCCATGCTTCGACTTTGTCGGCTCACGCAGCACCGTCGAGGAGCAGGATGTTTCGGATTCCATGTCTGCATGGCCACAGGGCCTCTTTCGAGGGTCCTTACTGGTTCATGAATCCTAAGCCAGCCCGCTCGTATCGGGAATACTTTGCTCGTACGTCCGCTTTTCCGGTTTCCCGCAGGAGATCGTACCACCACAAGCCGCGGCAACGGGACAACAGTCGGCTTTACGGGCGCAGCGCGATCAGTTTGTACAGAGGACCGTGCACCATGCTTCCTGTTGAAGGCTTCAAGAAGGGTTGAACGGCTTCCAAGCTTCGCTGGATCAGTTGAGCCCGAAAGCCCGCAGGATGGAACAGCAGCGCATGGATCAGGCCCCTCGGCCGAGGGGTTTCCGAGTTTAGGGCTGGGAGGCTGCAGGCTGTAGATGACACTTGCAGGATTGGTGAGTGAAATCTCAGGAAAGATCAGAGTTCCCAGTTGAAACGGGTCATCATTCCCCCAGACCTGACGCCAGGCGCGAACCGTACGGGATCTCACGGCGGAAGAGCGCAGTCCGTCCTCGAGGTGTTGAGATGGCTAGGAACCACTACAGGGCGTCGTCTTAAGCCAAGAGCTTGAAGACGAAAAAGGAAGCATCGGGCCCCCAAAGGGGGTCCGAATTTAGAACAATCAATGTTTGCACAGCGGCAGACCGGACGATGGAGAGCTCCTGGATCATAGGCAAAGCATCGCTCCAATCGATCGCACAGCCTCGGAGAGGTAGCCAGTTTTGCCTGAATGTATGTACGTAGCTTTGTTGGACTGTCACCCTCACAGAATCTTCAAATACCTTTGACGAACTCAACAAACACAAAAAGCCTTTTTCAATAACTTGTCACTCACCCAAAGCCGGTACGCGACCCGACAAGCATTCTTATGAAAGACTCACCGGAGCTGCAACAGAGCCCGAAATGAGGCAGCCAGAATTTCGCGCTTTGGGGTTTGGGGTTTTGGCTCTTGGGTTCATTTTCCAGCGCCTCCGGTGCTCGTTTAGGGTGTACTGCCGATTGGAGGATTTCGGGGTACGTCATCGCCGAGCTGCAGTCTGCACCCTAAGTGCCAACTGCTTTAAAAGGCCGAAGACTTAAAACCCGCCTTGAACCCAAGACTCCACAACCCTGGCCGCACAACCCAAGATATTAGAACCTCACGAACTCCATTGGGGAGATCAGCCTCCTGAAGTTATCCGGCTCTGCCCCGGGAGCTGCGAACTGCTGCGTTGCTTTTCCAAATCTGGCGGAGGTAAGGATTAAGGCGTGTGCTTAGGACATCGGGGCTTCGGGCTCACGAGCTCGCGTTGAGTTTGTTGAGCAGCTGGTGGGATTTTGGCCTGAACTGCAGTCCCGACAGATGATCAGCACTAGGTTGTAGTTGATCGCTGGAGGGCGCCGCACTTGTGCATTTTATGAGTGTATGTCATCAAATCTGATAGCCCAGCAGCAGCACACATGAGGCGGGAGGGCATCAGCCACCGTACCTCCTCTTGGGCGCCTCACATATGCAACTCGCAAAACTCTTGCCACCTTCAAGAGCCCCTCGAGCAAAACAACATGACATCATGTCCATCTCCAAGCAGCGCAGAAAGTTCCAACTTTCTGGCGAACTTGGTCTCCAGACGGCCTCTGCGTTCCTCAACAACAGGAAACACCAGAACAGACACCAACGGACCAACGGTGCGGGCTCTGGACAAAGGCCACATTCCTTCGAACAGCCCCCAAGTGTGATCATGAGTGTCACCGTACCGCACACTTACCACCGTATACAAGCTCAAGATGTGCCCAGTCACCTGCCGTCCACTTGCCAGTGACACAGCACGTGGATAGAGAGGCACGCGCGCTGGCAAAGCGCGCTTGAGGACTCCTAATGACAGACAGCGAACACACAAGCAGACAAACAACTCACTGCTATTTCTACTTCTACTTCTACTTCTACTGTACTTAAACTTCTACTTCTACGTCTACCACTACTACTACTACTACTACTACTACTACTACTACTACTACTACTACTACTACTACTACTACTGCTACTGCTACTGCTACTGCTACTGCTACTGCTACTGCTACTGCTACTGCTACTGCTACTACTGCTACTGCTACTGCTACTGCTACTGCTACTGCTACTGCTACTGCTACTGCTACTGCTACTGCTACTGCTACTGCTACTATTACTACCTACTGCTACTGCTACTGCTACTGCTACTGCTACTGCTACTACGGCTACGGCTACGACTACGACTACGACTACTACTACTGCTGCTACTACTACTACTACTACGACTACTACTACGACGACGACTACTACTTCTACTCCTACTACTACTACTACTACTACTACTACTACTACTACTACTACTACTACTACTATTACTACTACTACTACTACTACTACTACTACTACTACTACTACTACTACTACTACTACTACTACTACTAGTACTACTAGTACTACTAGTACTACTAGTACTACTAGTACTACTAGTACTACTAGTACTACTAGTACTACTACTGCTGCTGCTGCCACTACTCTACTACTACGGCTACTGCCCGTGCTAGGGCTGGTGTGAATGGTAGTGGTTGCAGGTGGTAGTGGAAGTGGGCATTTGGGCCGGGAATGGTGGCACAACTAGCCCACGCTCGAAATGGGAGTGGTAGTGGTAGTGGTGAAAGTGGTGTTAGTGGTGGTAGTAGTCCTCGCCCTCGTCCAAGGTTGATATGATAGGCGAAGGAATGGCACGCCATGGGCTTCCTCCGCCCGTTAGTTAGCTTGTAGGGGGAGGACCTCAGCATGTTCCCGTGCTTGGCGGGGCGTGATCAGCGCACGACGAGAATGCGAACAGAAAAAGGTAGGTGCTGTGGAGAAGCTGCCGGCAGCAGTGGTCTTTCTGTCCAAGCTTCCTGCGAGAATGTAGCTGCCTTTGTGCGCCGAAGCTGTCAGTTGTCGGGGTGGCTACGGGTAGTGCAGATTCCTGCCAGAGAGTTTCATGATCACGATGATCATGCTCGCAGAGATCAAGTAACCAGAAGAACTCCAGGTGAAGATCGATCCCAGTGCAGTGAAACACAAGCTGCTGCCGCCTGGTCGGCATTGACAAGTGGGGTCTGCAGTTCCACAGTCCGGTGAAGGAATATATTGCAGTGTGTGAAGAAGCCTTGAAGATCTGGAATCCTGGAAGCTGCAGCATAGGCTCGGACTGTCCGATGTCTGATCTGCATGGGAGCCGTTTCAGGCACTCACGCTAAAAACTCTTCGGACTGTGCTGGTAGTGCTTATTCTTAATGGTGAACAGAGTACGCCAGATATGCATGCCCGCAAACACTGAAACAAATGCGGGACTTGTAGTTGGTTTCACTTGGCTGATCAAAGTCTGCGAGCTCCTTGTATGAATCATGTTATTTCACATCCCGTCCTGGACGAGCCTCAAGCGCTTGATTGTCCCGTGCGCAGCATTGATTCACGCTCCCTATCTTGTCAGGGCCTGACAATCGCAAACCAAAGAATCCGAAAAGCACTGAGTAAGCACCAGATTCCCGGGCTGAGGACGTGCACTGAGACGATGCGGTACCTCGAGGAGGTCGGACGGCGAGGGCTTGCAGAAGCTCCCTCTGCCATCTCATCACTGCGCATCATTGCGCATGCAGCTTTCAGCGTGCCAGCCCTTTTCTGTCCGGGTTAGGGCTATATAGGGCGTCAGTGCAAAGGTCTTCACCACGCAGCCGCGGCCACGACAGGCGGCCTGTGGGGCACGCATATGCCCATAGAGTCACAGTGAAATACTGTCTTGTGCTTCTGCTCTGTTGCGGCTTCCACGAGCCGTGTTCACGCGTAACTCACTGGTCACCTAAAGATCCATGCGCCACTACTCCGGAACCTGGCTGTTGGGGCTTTACGGTTTAGGATTACGGAGCGTGCAACTCCTCACTCAGCACGCAGCGTCTTTGGTGTGGCTTTTGTCTCAGACAGGTCGGGGCGTGTGCTGTCCTTGCAAGGGGGCTTGATCGCACTTGAAGGTGGGTATCCCTGAGCTCGGAATCCGGGTTCCAGGTGCTGCATTCATTATCCCTGGACTTGGCAGAACTACGCGTGCTGGTTCCTGCCGGGCATCTCAGGCTGTACGATGGTCTAAGCGGGTCGGAGTCGCCCTGCACTGAACGAAACTTCACAAAGAAAAGCACACGAAGACTTCCTTTCAGGTTTAGCCTTGATAGAAGCACCCACTAAAACCAGTTGCTATTTTGACGAGTTGAATTTGGAGACGCTTGCACCTTTCTTGTAAAGCTCTGTTCCTACATAGCCTTGTTATGTCTCTGCGCTGCATCGAACAGCCTCTGTTGCCTTGCAAATGCAAGCGTGCTAGCACAGGCCGTCAATCGATCAGTCAATCTCTTGCAAGATTCGAGAGTCGGATCCTTTCATCTGGCCACTGCTCAAACAAATCAATGCACTCTGGACACCCTGATGGTTTTGTTGTTGAGGTGGTTGCTGTTGTTGTTGGTGGTTGTTGTTGGTGTGAAGTTTCGGTACTTTTAAGTGGAGTCCAGATGCTTGCAACACTGATATGATGAGTATGCAGGTGTATAACAGTCCCCGACAAGCTTTCACAGCCCCGAAACCAGGTCATCGTCTCTTTGCGGAATCCAGGACTTCGAGATCGACATTGGTGCAGTGTCCTGTGTTAAGCAGGGCTCGTAGATCCGGATTCGCTTAAGCGAATAGCTTTCGAAGTCTAGGTTTTGGAGTTCAAGTTGAAAGGATGAAACCAGGGCCTTCCAGGTCTGGAGGGCAGCTTGCTACATACTATCACCACGTCGTTCTTGTGTTTCGGTATTGATGCGACAAGACTCCTGACGAATTCCACTCGTGTTCTGATTGCTGGCACTATGACCATGTTACTTCTACGGCGACGACTACTGCAGCCAACAGGCACTACGGTATGAATTATGCTGCCAACCTCCAAGAAGAAAGCGTTCAACGCGAAACGCAGAGAGCACCAGGCTCAAATCGAACCTGAAACCCGGAAGCGGCTCACGACAGGCAGCGCATCGGGGAAGCCATGGGCCAAACGATCCAAGCCAGCCAGATGAAGGCCAGGCCGTGTGGGTGGCTGTTGTGGCCGCATTCAAGCTCGAAGCCGGCTAGACGGAACCCACGCACTCGATCCTTCAAGACTTCAAGCTGAAGAAACCCTGTGTCAGGAAATCACCTTGTCCACCATGAACGAGCGGTATCCCTTCGTCTTGCTCTCGGGCTTTCTTGAGGGTGTTTGTTGCCGCGTCTGTGGAGGCCGACAACATGAGTAGTACAGGATTTCGATATGTTGTCGCCTGCATGTTTCCCAAAGACTTCGCTGCATAGGTTACTAGAAGAAACGTGATTAACTTCGTCATTCCAAGCGAGGCGCACGTTTGAGCCCATGCCTTCAAAGACCGCTTATTCCTCATCTGCCAAAGCACATCGATCTGTCTGTCTGTCTGCCTGTCTGTCGGCGTTTGTGTGCGTGTGTGTATATATACATATATCTATACCCATGTATGTGTGTATCTGTCTCTGTTCTTATGGCGAAGTCTGTTTCTGTATGATTTCTGAGACATCTTTACCTATGTACCTGTGTATCTCTGTACCTACTATCGATATGTCTATACCTATATCTTTCTCTGCATCTGCGTCTGCACCCACCTACCTACTCGATGTCTTTCTGTCTATCTATCTATGTACCACCGATCCAGCTCACTATCTATCTGCCTATCTGTCCATCTACCTACCTGTCTATCTACCTGTTCACTTATCTACCCGTCTATGTACCTACTCTAATTACGTGTCTCTGTTTCTTTCCATCCTGTCTCTGTATGTATCTTAGAATCTTTCTATCTACTTGTCTGTCTGTCTATCTGTACATGTGTGTGTGCGCACAAAAAATATTTTCTTTTTCATATAGATGGAGGTACATTTGTATATGTTACACGCATCTGTATCTCGTTCTCCTCTGAGAGTTCCTTCGGCTTTTTCCATAACCATCTGTATGCACGTGCTTGCATGATTATGTTTGTGTGGGAGAGCCGGCGTTCTGAGGTTGCACATCTCTCAAAGATCCAGGCACAGCATGTGCATTGACCTGGGAGTGGCTTCTCTGTTCGCACCTCGATTTCAACGTTCAGACTGACCGAAAGCCTAGACCCTTGAAGCGCAGTCGCCGCAATTGCGATCACTCCATAGTCCCACTCCGCAGGCTATCTCTGAGACGGCATCGAAAGAGATGGTCATCGAGGACGAATTGAAGAGGCTTGGTGCTCGAGAGTGCGAACAAACCTAGATCAATGCACTGTTCGTGGCGGCTTGATGCCTAGCCGGTTTGGATGAGAACAGCTACATTTGGAATACTTGAGCAAGAAGTGCTAGATTCATCACCCGAACCTTCTGACGATGCGGGAAGAGGCGCAGCAGTCACAGCAGCAGTCACAGCAGCAGCAACAACAGCAGCCAACCCTCCATAGCTTCACCCAGCAAGCAAATAAAACCCCGCTCTGTAACCTCTGGAAGGATGCAGGATCAGTGGACCAAGTTGAAATTCCAGATCAAGCCGGTTAGTTGTGACCCCAGTGGTATTGTGAGGGTTTTGAGAAGGTTGTTTCTAGGGCTCCATATGGTTTGGAATCGTCGGGGGGTTCCTGGGCCTAGTCATGCGATTCAACTGGCAGCGCAAAGCAGGCTTTCGGCTTTGCAGTATTGGCCCTATCTAGAGTACCTTGGCAAAACTTCAAGGTGCTATTGCAGATTCGCATACGAAGACAGCACAGGTAGCCAACATATACGCCTTTGCCGGGCTTAGCAGGCCGTGCAGATATTTTCATCCGGTCTCCCATTATTTCTGCTACAGGGGCTATGGGCCTGCTTCCGAGAAGTTGATACTGAAGACGCTGATACTAGTGAGTATCCCACTGCTGCTTGGCCAACATATTCCTTTCCATATAGGTTCTGATTTGGAACCTGAATGTGCATCCCTGGACCGAGAGTTATTTCTTGCGCCCTGGGATATGCACCACGAAGATTGAGAGCTTTTGCAGCTCTGAGCCGGAGTCAAACAGCGCCTTGCTGATTGAAGTTAGTTGAAACCTTCCGCAGTCCCAAGCGCCTCGCTCGAAAATACTACAACTAGTGTCAAACCGGACTTGACCTGGGAACACCAGCAACCGTTTTCAATGATCAGCAGCCGTGCGAAGTCGCCGACCGTTCCTCCCTGAAGCCTCGATTTTTCGACTGAAGGCCGTATGGAGGACGGCGAAGCGATTGAGGCCGTGCTGTTGCCCGTTTCTCTCAAGGGGAGCCAAGGGCGGCGAGAGCCTTCGCTTCATGTGCGGCAGTGTGAATTATACGACTCTTGTTTTAAGCATGCGACATGCATGACTTTGGGGGTGGTTGTTGTGCGTGGGCCTAAACCTTTAAGACTCTGGGAGTCAGCTTTGCGGATTGCTGGGTATGCGATATTTAGAGGCATTCAGAATGTGTGACAGGCTCGTTGCGGCGCCAGAGTTTTCACAGTTGTTTTGGACGTCCATGAAGGGCTCAAGAGGCCTCGCAGGGTTTCGTTTGCTTATTGACATTCTGCTTTCGGCCTTCAGGCAACCTTTTCCCAACCGTCTGCAGGGGATGCATGAACTTCTGGTTACTGGTTGCTAATGAGGCACTTGGATCCTTTGTAAGTCATGTTGAGCTCCGCAAGACTTGCCTAGCTTCAGGCTTTTCTGCAAACGTGCGGCTTCAGAGCTCATGAAGACAAGCCAGGACGAAATGCCGACCGTCATGGCCGAATTCCATCACGAGCAGGTTTCCGGGTGAGTTTTGACATTCTCGCCGGATCTTAGTAGCTTTCAGCGGTTTGCTTTTCGCCAGCTTCTCCAGAGACGAGCCGCATGTCTGAGAGCAAGCAGTGGAAATGTGGAAGTGCTTTTCCAAACTTCAGGTCTGGGAACTGATTGCGGAGCAGGCGGCCAAGGCACGAGACCTGAAATGTATGTCAGGCTTCTCGGTGACATCTTCGGTCACAAAAGAGGTTTGCAGGACCAGAGCATGCAGGGATTGTTACAACACAGCCTGGGAGATAACCTGTACCGCATTCTTCCACAGCTTCTGGTGTGCGCTTCCTCATCCTCGCTTCGTTGACCGTGTTCTTGATGCTTTTTTGCAGAGAAGCTTGTCTCAGCTGCATCCTTCTGTTCGGTGTTGCTGCTGGGCCTTGAAATGCATCGGTTGTCCGGGCTGAGCGCGATGTTACATGGTGGATGTCGTTAGTTGGTTCATGCGTCACCGCCGTGTTCGTCAGACAAATGAACACGAAGCCAGGTCAAGCGCATCTAAGCCGATCAAAAAGTCGGAGAGTTCAGCAGTCTCCCGCATCACCTGTCCTCTGCCCTTCCCGAGTTAACCCTCCATGGCGGCGACCGAGTTCTTAAAGGGATGAGCAAATTTTGAAGCGAAATGAACGATCACGTTTTGCAAAGACAAGCTGACCTCGAAGTGTTTTGGGATCGAGCCTGCGAGGAGCCTGTCTCAACTGCTTCTGTAGCGGCGATGCATCGCCGAATTAGAAATCGGAAATCGCTGTGAAGCAACAGCAGACCCACAGCTGTCCGAGATCGGACTTTCAACATTCTGAGATCCATGCCCGAGACCCTTTAAACCCCAAGAAACACAGCCTAAACCCAAGTGGAGGTTCGATCTCTTGGGCACAGACCGAATGCGGCCGTCCACGCCCAGGCTGGTGGACAGAGTTCACTGTCCTTCAGTCTTCGTGTTTTGACTCAACAGGGCTTGTCTGGGCTGGACCGATTTGTCCAAGGCTTGCAGACCACTCGCGAGTGTTGTATGCATGTAGGCATGTATGTGTACATGCATACGAACACACCTTGACCCAGAGGCTCTGGTTGCGCACGATGCCAAGCTCAAGGCAATCTGCGGGTGAAGAGTTTGTTTTTGTGTCTTTGAGGTTGACTTTCGGCCTCAGTGCTTTGGCCGATCAGTGTGGAATTGGCGTTCACGGGAGCAAAAGCAGGCAGTAGCCGAGCCTGGATTCTGGGCCGGGTGGTTGGAAAACGGAGCCGCTTTTTGTCAGACTCGTAGGGTGTCATAGGTAGACCTTGGAAGCCTCATAGACTGCAGGCCATCGGGGAGCTTGTCGACTTGCTCGAGGAGTCCCAGTTTGGTGGGGCAGCCCAGAGTCTTCCCTCTCAGGCTTTTCTTTGGGAGAAGCGATGGTCAGGAGCAGCAGTGATTGGCACCAGTACGACAATCGCGATCAACATCAGCACGAAGGTGTTCAGAAGTAGTCGAGCAACTCTAGTTTCTAGTTGCAGCAAGGGCATTTATGAATGGTCATTCTGCTGTGTCTTGAATGGTCGGCTCGCGGGCGTGGTTCTGTTGCGTGTCGAGTAGATGGAGCACACGGGGAGAACCGTTTCAAACCCAGCGCGAATGAGAATTCCTGAACTTCAAGGCTACCTCGCTGCCCGTGAGCACATGATGAACGAAGGCTTGGTCAAGGCCACTTCCCCGCAAATGATGGGGTGGCCTCTGAGTCCGATTCCGACCTGTGGATGAGCATTGTCTGATGCAGGGCTAGTGACAATGCGAGGAACGGTTCAAACACCCAAGTGGCGATCTAGAGTTTGACAGCGAAGAGCCTATCCTGGAGCCAAACATTTGTGGGTATTGGATGCTTTTGACTTTGCCTTATGGGCTTGACGGCTGGGCCCAAGACCTAGCAGCTCTAGCACCTGCAGCTGGTGCCATCCTGGACTCAAGCCTGAGGACCTGATGCAGCGGGATACCGAGCGGAACAAAGAGTGGAAACGCTCTTTGTCCGGCAATATGGAGGTTCGTTTTTTACGGTAAAAGCCACTGTGATTTCGTTGAGCGTTAACTGGGGAGAGGTCCTGCTGAGCTGGAGTCTCTGGTTTGTGAGTTCTCTTGCTCGCTCCGTCCCTCTCCTTTTTCTTTCTCTCTCTCTCTCTCTCTGCCGTTCTTCGTGTTCGGCCCATGTGCTGGAATGGAGGGTGCGGGAAGTGGAGCCGTCGTGAAGGGGCAGAATGAGCAGAAGAAGTGCAGTTCCGTGTCAGATTCACGATCCTGGAGCCAATCTGTTACTCATGTTGGTGCCACTCCTGGCAATTTCAGCGCCGTTTGCGAGAGCATCAGTTCTCAGATTTTTCGCACCACGGTCGCGATATGCTTCCCAGGCTTCTTCGACGTGGAGAAGCAGTGGCAAGGGATACTGAATCACCTGAGGCGGTCTCCAAAGCATGCTCGAAGTTTCGGATTATTGGCTTAGGGCTTGGCACCTTGCGTCAAGGCTTGTGTCCTGGGTCGATTTCCTGATGCTTCTTGCTGGTCCTACCACTCTTGCGACGGGGTCAGCTTTTTGTGAATTTGCTCAGTGAATATGTCTTCTCTTTGGCGAATGATGAATGGCTTTTAGAGGTAGCGAAAATCTGGATCGCAGGAGCGGCTGGCGGCTGACAAGAAGCCGCACACAACGAGACTCTGAGAGTCATCGAGAAATCCTAATGCAAAACATGTAGAATTGAATCGGGGTTGCACTTGCAGCAGAACATGGCTTCTGTGCTTTCGCGGGAGGTCCGCGCACAGCTACCTCGAGCTCTTGGATCAAAAGATCACCGTGAACTGTCGGGAGGCCTTGCACCAGTTGAGGAAGACTCGAGTTCCGAGCCCGGCTTCGGGCGGCAATCTGCCTAGATGGCCTGTAGACTTCGGCAGTACAGTACGATAAGAAGCCGAGCCCGAAGCCCACGGGCAGGAAGCAGAAGGGTTTGTAACCCGGGCATGGAAGGCCACCGAAGGCACGGTAAGTCAAGGAATAGAGAATTCCTAGGATAGCTTTCCGGAATACGTTCTGAGAACGTGCCCACATTCTTTTGGGAACACCAAGCGTGCAACTGTCTGTGGTTTCGAATATGTTGGGGATGCGAGATCCCAGGATCACCTCGCTTCCTAGTTAGGAAGGACGAGAGGGCCAACCACAAGACGCTGCTGAAGCAGGGACTCTTGGACTGTCTGCATGCGGCTGGATCACTTTGCCTTTATGTTGCCTGCCTCTCCGCGGCTGTGAGCTCATCAAAAACTCGTGTGCCTTCCGCCAGCCGGCAGTGGAGTGAGGCACATGTGCCGTTTGCTTTTGCAGTCATGGGTTACTAGACTTCTGGGTCCTGCAGTGCAGGTCCTCAGGAAGGAGTGAATCAAAGCTGTTGCGGTTGCTGCTCCTTCACCACAATCACTAGGTCCGAGAACCGAGATTCCTTACATCCCCGAGCCAGAAAGCACAAAGCCAGCGAAAGCCCAGAAGGCCCGCCAAGAAATACAACGATAGGCAGCATGCCCGGCGCTCACAGACTTTTACCCTTTTCTGCTTCGACTTGCAGGTAGTTCTGGTGCATGCATGGGTCGGGGCAGCCCAGCGTGTATAGTCGGCATCGCGTTCGTTAGCCTGAGACCCTAAACACCAAACTCCAACCCAGCTCTGGCAGGAAAGCTATTTCCACCGCAATGACCTCCAGCCGCTGGGCCTTTCAAGCCGACCTTGTCACCACCTGTCGTAGAGAGCGGACCCGGGGTTCGTGTTGAATCCGACGATCGCTCAAAGCCGGCAGTGCCTGTGAAGCCGGACAAGCTGAAACCCAAAGAAGCACTGAATCAGCTCGCTCACGCTCCGTCTTTCGCTGAGATCACATGAAGCTTCCCCTCCCCGTGCGCAGCAGCGGACCCAGGAGTCCAAGGCAGGAACGGGAACCAGACGGGAGCGAGACGGGTCTAGGAGCAGAACAACGAGCAAGTGCAGGCGGCAAAAAGAGTACAGGTAGTAAGTCAGTATGCATCAGCATGACCGTCACCTTCGTTGTCGACATTCTCGTCATCACCACCATCATCAAAGTCCGAAGATAAAATAAAATCATCGCCGTCGTTCTCATCGTCATCAGTCTCACCAGCATCACCGGCATCATCACCATCATAGTCCACATCATCAGCAGCGTCGTTCATCGGTGTCACGAGCATCATGTTTGCATCAGTGTTTAGCAGTCTAGCCAAAGAAGGAGCGTGACACGGTCGAGTCTGTGCTCGCGTCGTCGACATGTGGGTTACTGAGACGGTTACTGCTTATGCTTACTGACAACATTCTGTCATGATACTGCGCAAACATACATCATCAAGAGTCGAGTGACTTCAAGTTATTGCGCAGATGGCCGTGGAATCTGGAGAGTTTCTGTATGGCTGTGGTATATAGTGCTTGAAGATGAGACCACTGAGTCGCGCTTTGTTCACTTGGTTAGAGCTCGAATTACTAATGTCTTTTTTTGCCACATCCGTTTTGCGCTTGTGTGTCAGGTCTGACAGCTCGGTGTATGAATGCAGTCCTCTCCTGTTGCAATCGCTTTGGCAGATTGGCCCTAGCTGTGAGTGATGCTTGGTTTTTACAACAAGGCAGTCGACGTAGCTAACGTGGAAAGCTCGATTGGCAAGAGAAACCTAGAGCTTTCGTAGGCGCGAGTGTGACCACGAACGGCAGTTGGAAGTACAAAACATCCTGCACGTTGCGAAAGACGGAGGTGCGACTCGAACACACCGCGCAGCATCGGTGGACAATCTCCTTCAGAGGCTTGTGGAAGGATTCGGAAGTGGGTTCCTGCTCCTTTCCCATTTCCGTGGTAGCTGTATCGTACCGGCAGCAGACATACGACGATGAACAAACGATGATCAAGTAGGTCCGTATGCATCATGGTTTGAATGTCGAAGCATGATAGGTGTGGGGTTTGACATCATGCCTGTCATGAGCTTGGTCTTGACATTTCATAAGCTTTGCAACGGGATTGGACAAACCAAGCCTTCGCAGGAGCCTGCGTTGCTGTCATTGCGCAAAGGTGCTAAAGATGATGGTAGCTGTTGTGATTCCAGTGTCGTTGTCGTTTGTGTCGACGAAGATTACTTGCTCCATCGCCAGCAATACGACAACGACTACGGCTACTACTCTACTGACGCTTCCACTACCTCCAACCTCCGCGACTACCAGTGTGCCTCTGCCTGTGCCTCTGCCACTAACATTGTCACTAGCCCTAGCATCACCAATGCTGCTGCTCCCACTACTGCTACCTGCTATTGCTACTACTACTGCTGCTGCTGCTGCTACTACTACTACTACTACTACTACTTCTGGTGTTGCTCCTACTATCTCCTACTCCTCCCACTGCTACTGCTACCGTCACTGCTACCGCAACCACAAGCGCTACCGCTAGCGCTACCGCTAGCGCTACCGTTATCGCTACTGCTACTGCTACCGCAGGCACTGGTACGGCTGGTGCTGCTTCTGCTAATGCTGCTGCTTTTTATTACCACTCCTGCTGCTGCTGCTGGTGCTAGAAATTCAGTCCTACTCTGCTACTGCTACTGTTGCGGCCACTGTCGCTGTGTCTGCGGCTGTTATGGCTTTCTCCCGCTTGCCAGATGTGTTTTTGCTGCTGTTGCTGTATGTGGATCAAGCAGGAGATCCCGGCTACTGCTGCTGCTACTTCGATGATGACACCTCCAGCCACCGCTGAATCAAACAATATGAAATTCTGTGGGCTGCGATGCTTGTTATCACTCGTACAAGATTTATACAGTTATGTTTTGTTGATTGCAAGTATCTGTGTCAAGGCTAGATTCCCGTTGGCTTGGGTATTCAGTCGAAGGTCACGCTTGGATTCGAGAGCTGCTGCAAGTCTGCCAAAAAGACTCGCCGTGGCAGGCCTACTTCAACTCCAACACTGTGCGGGCCCAAGTCGGGAGTTACTCGCACATTTAAGGGTTTCATGCAACCATTCAGTATATTTTATCGGCCTGATTCGTGTTTGCAATCGTGTTGTATGTGAAGCTTCATCTGTCTTGGGCATAAGCCTATCGCAGACGAATATGAGGACAAGCTTTGTAGGTCATCGTGTACTTCAGGATTCAATAAAGATTGTCGCCGACGTCTGGGCGTTGAGCGACGATTGAACGTTCACAAATCTTGGCGAAGAAAGCGCCATTCTTGGGCGGCCCTAGCTTGTCTCAACCAAAGCCCTAGGCAGCAAACCCTTGAATTAAAAGTCTTCTGAGGCCTGAAAAAACCACAAAGGGGCAGAGCCGAGCCGAGCCTGCCTCTGCCTGCAGGGCCTCGTCTCTCCGAGCACTGCCTACTTCGAGGGAACCATGAACTTCTTCGGTCAGTCCGGAGGAGACGGGGAGACAGCTAAAAAGCAGCCGGCGGCCGGGCTAAGGAGTACATGAAGCGTGGTCATGGTAGCCGCCGCCGTTTGCGATCATCGTGCCGATTGTGCTTGTGACTAATTCTTGCTACTGCTATCTATCTCAAGATTTCCGTCGTTGATTGTTCCTTGTCTGTTGAGAGTCTTACAAATTTGGCATTGCTTAGATGCAGTGACAAACTCTATGACAGTGTATGTGTGAGGTGGCAGTGGAACTTCTGCATGCTCCGGCCGTTTCGTGGATCCTACGCAAGCATGCCGCGGCAACACACGGCATTTCCTGTTAATGGCATGTCGTCGTGAGCCCCGACTCTGCGCAAGCGAAAGGGTTTCGCTGGATCTTGGTAGTGGTCATCCTGTGCTTCATGTGTCACTTGTCCGAGCAGCAAGACGAAGTCAGGACAAGCCCATGACCCTTCGACGCAGACAGCTGAGCGGCCGGCGCCGCCAGCCCCTATGGTCACTTGGAAAGGGCGAAGGGGTGTGGCGTGAGGTTGAGCTGGGGTGTTGGGTGAAGGATTGAAAAAATCTAGTCTACGGTCTTCTTTTCATTGATGACTTGTGTCGGAAGATCTTGGAGGCTACAGCTCTTCGTAGCTATCCCCTTGATTTCGAGCCAGTGTTTCCCGGGCTTATTCTGATTCTGGTCCCGTCGGTTGGTGCCGCTTCGGCAGCTTTATGTTAGCGCTTGTGTGTCACTCGGTATAGGCACGCAATGCCGGCTACGTGGCCAGTTGGGGGGATGGCATGATGTCGTTCAGTCTGCGTTTTGTATTGGATGGTGTTGCTCTGCAGGGCTTTGAGTGAAGGAGCCTGAAAACAGCATCCTGACACGCGTTCAATCCGGTGGCTCTGCTGCCGGCAGAGGGATCGAGGCTCTGATAGAGGCTATTTGAGGGAGATTGAGAGAGCGGCTTGAGGAGCAGGCGCCTTCGCATCCACCGCAGCAGAAGCCGTCACGCCCTCAGACTCGGTACAGCTCATGTTCAGTGAGAGACATGCCGCTACGAATCTTCCTGCCTGGTCTATGCCAGGACTCGCACGGAGCAGTTGTGTCCACCAGGTTTTTGCTAGAGAGACCCTTTGAGGTGCCGCTGCGACAAGTGTGAACCCTGAACTTCTGGAGTTTACGCGAAACGATGTAGTCCCGCATAACCAGATGCGATCGTCAGAGGCCGACCAACGCGCCTGTGCCACAAGCACATCCACAGCAGCCCATGGGAATGACGCTTTGTTTGCATGATCGGAGTTCTCTTTGCGGTCTTTGTTTCTCGGGTCTTTCACAAGTCCTTGGGGTCTGACAGGGTCTTGTGCTTCCACTTTGGCAGACTAACAGGATTTCCAGACCTGCTTTCGGATTTGAGCCATAGGACTGTCATATGGGGCTTGACGGGTGTTC